TGATCTACAAATGTCAACTTCTAGTCCAAGTCACTAATTGTATCGCACCTTACAACCAGCTGGTTACAGTACATACATGTAAAATTTAGAGTAGTGTGTTTTCTGGAATAAGATATAATATTGCATTTTTAAACATTAATGTCCAGCAGACTTTTAACGCACCAATTGTAGAAAACATCAATTTCATTTTGAAAATGTAAAATCAGAATTGTCAAAGATTTCCATGTACAGTTTCATATCGTCCCATTTAAACGATTTAACACAAACTTCACGTCATCCACAAATAAAATAAATAATTAAGGACCTAAATGAGATCCCTGTGGAACTCCTGATGTAAAATTAACTGGCAAAGATATTTTTTCTTTAAAGCGGACCATCTGTGTTCATTCTATCAAGTATGATCCAATTAAAAGTGTACTTGTCATACCTAAACGTTTTAATTTAAAAAGAAGTAAGGGAATGTCTACTCTGTCAAAGGCCTTACTAAAATCAGTGTATAAGGTTTCAACCGTATTACCTCTATCCATTGCTTCAATAGAAAAGTTTACAAAAGTTAGTAACAACGCGACCCGCTCCATTATTCAGCAGATTCCCACCATCACACCAGATCCCAAACAATAAACACTTTCATCAATTAGCCGAGTCAGCTAATTGTATGTCAAGTCAGACGATAGCCAGATTGGATCACTTTCGCTGGAATCACGACGATCATCGATAGCATGATCTCACCAGACCACCCAGCAGGAGGATCACCAGAACGCATTAGCAGCATTAGCAGAAACATATAAACACCCGCATTGTTCCCACACTAACCAAGAACTAACTTCGTAGCATAAGTCGAATTTGTAAATGAGTCTTAATCGATCAGTGAATAAAAGAGGAGCATAGCTCCTAAATATATTTTTTTGAGTTTCTCTCCGGAGAAGTTCTTAACTGGCGCCCGATTAGGGACCGGTAGTGCGAAAGTAAATCTAAGTGATAGTGTTAGTGAAACCACCACATAATATCACCGCGTAAGAGCTTCGTGAATATTTGGAACACCTACCGCACCGGATAGTGAAGCTGTAAGAAGTCCTTCACATCCGCACTTAGAGGAAATCTATCCCGATCGCAACTCAGCAGCCGTACGACTAGGTCCCATAGTATAGATAGTTCAATCCCCTAACCACCCCCCCCCCCTCCTTGTAATTTTTCACTTTGCCTTATTCTATCTCCACTAGATTTAAATAAAGAACAAATTCTGCTTAACCGATCGCATAACTTACCATAGTGAATCCTAATCTAAAAATAACCTACCTCGCTTACACTACTATCCTTCGTGAGATAGCCGTGGAGCTGTAGAGGTATTCTCGGTCTCTAGTAACAACCGGACGTCGAACTAATCATCCTTCCCTCCCCAAAAGACCGGGAGGACGTGGCCGGCGCTGTGAATTGATCTATAGAATGAATTAATGTGCTTGTACATTGAAGATGGAAAGCTTATCCCATGCACCCATCTATGTAGTTCTCTGTGCAAGTGGATTAGTTGTGATCATTCACGGAGGAGCAACTACGAAGTGCACGGTCAGATAACGTTAACTCTACGGCAAACACTTTCATTGATACGTTTATTGTTGTGGATGATAGAAGAGCATAGCAGAAATAGTGCGAAATAGGAAGCCATGGTCATCACAAAAGAGGAAATCGAAAAAGCGAATTGGCTTTCACCCTTCTGCTTCTAAGCCCCTTACAGTCATCGCCATAGCATCGCATCGCTTTTGGTTTTAGGGCACACGGCGAATGAGAACGACCCAAATTTGAGTTTAGTTCACTCATAATCGCCAAAAGTGCAGGAACGCAGCGATGAGTTAAATTTGTCTCATGGTTTCCTGTGGAAAACCTAAAAATCTGCCGGTAAATGAGGAAATTGACGAAAACATTATTCAGTCTCGGAGTAGTACCAATAAACTGAGTGAATCCAATCTTTACTTTTCTCAAATTCGGGATTTTTTCCCTGGAAAAACCTGGGAAAACATGAGGCAAACTTACTCATCGTTGAGTTCCTGCACTTTTGGCGATTATGAGTGAACTAAACTCAAATTTGAGTCGTTCTCATTCGCCGTGCACTTGCTGGTTGCAATTTTTAGATCAGGATTCACTGTGATGCGATCAGTTGTAAGCAGCAGAAATTTCCTTCCCAACTCTCTTGTGGAATCTTTTAGTGGCTCTGAAAAGGGCCGGTTTTGATAGATTTCAACGGAGAAATTAAGAGCATTCACGACAAATACGAAGAGTCAGCTGAATGTCCTTTGGCATAATTGTGACACGCTTAGCGTGAATGGTTTATTTCATTCGTCGAGGGTATACTTATACCTGCGTCGAGTAGCATATTACTAATACAGGGAGGGTACAATACGTACAGTGGGTAGCAAAATACAGAAAAGGGGAGGAGTCTCGCTTCTTATCCTACGGGCACAAAACGAGACACCATCGCCGAAACGACTATCAGTTATTCTCTATCGAAGCGAACAGCTAAATCATGGCACCGAAAACCAGCTCCGTACCAAAGCGGAGTATGACTTGGTCGTCGCCCACCTGAGGACTTCCAAGGTGGAATTCTTCACCCACGACATTCCCGGTGAGAAGCCATTCAAGGTCGTCATTAGGGGCCTACCAAACTTCGACCCGAAGTTTATCGAAGCTGAAATCAGAGACCGGTACAAGCTGGCCCCATGTGCCGTCTATCGGATGACAAGGAAGGACGAAAATGTGAAGGCGTATCCGGATAGCCTTTTCCTGGTGCACTTCCAGAAGGGAACGGTGACACTCAACGCGCTGAAAGCCATCCGCTCCATCAATTCCATCATCGTCCGCTGGGAGCCATACCGTGGCGGCCATCGTGATGTGACTCAGTGCCAACGGTGTCTGAACTTCGGACACGGCACCCGCAACTGCAACATTAAGCCACGCTGTGGTAATTGCGCTCAAGACCACGCCACTTCCGACTGCCCTGCGGATGGAGCCGTGGCGTTAAAATGCGCCAACTGTGGTGGTGCTCACCAAGGTTCCGACAGACAGTGCTCCAAACGCGAGGACTTCAAACGCATCCGAAAACAGGCGGCAAATAACAACCAACCAGGACGCAAGAGGATTTCCCGCCTCTTCGTACTCCTCCATCTGTTTCAAAGTCGAAAATGATGACGATCGGCTCTTAATCACCCCACAAGAGAAAGCAAATGCGATCGGCGAGCATGTAGCTTCATCGCATTTGCTTGGCTCGACTATCCAAAGTCCGCTCGATGATCAGGTTGCGCAATGCGTTCAAAACCTAGATACCTCCCCTTGTGTCGTGCCTCCGGCGGATATGATTACAGTACAACAGATTTGCTCAGCGCTGAAATGCACCAAGAACATGAAGGCTCCCGGGTTTGACGGTATATTCAACTTGATCTTGAAGAGACTCAGCATGAAAGTGCAGTCTCTTCTAACCGCTATCTTCAACAGATGTTTGGAACTGCACTACTTTCCAAGCATCTGGAAAGTAGCAAAAATCATACCAATCCGCAAACCCGGTAAGGATCCAACATTGTCTTCAAGCTACAGACCAATCAGCCTCCTTTCAGCGCTGAGCAAATTGTTCGAGAAACTCATTCTCAATCGTTTACTCAAGTTTGTCGAGGAAAATAACATTCTCCTTCCGGAACAGTTTGGGTTCAGAAAGGGGCACTCCACCAATCACCAGCTAGTACGGGTGATGAATAACATCCGAAGTAACAAAGCTGTATCCAAGTCCACAGCCATGGCCTTGTTAGACGTTGAAAAGGTGTTTGACAATGTTTGGCATGACGGACTTGTGTACAAGCTTTCTAACTTCCACTTCCCATTACATCTGGTTAAAATCACCAGTAACTACCTTCAGCAAAGGTCGTTTAAGGTATCGTTGAATGGTTGTCTTTCAGACACGTTTTCCATCCCAGCAGGAGTCCCGCAAGGCAGTCTGCTGGGCCCCTTGCTTTACAGCATTTACACTTCCGACATTCCTCCCCTTGGAGACGGTTGCGTGTTTTTCCTGTTCGCAGATGATACCGCAATAGCCGTCAAAGGAAGGATGCCTCGCGAAATAACGAACAAACTTCAACGATGCCTTAACGCCTTTGCTGATTATGCCACCACGTGGAAAATCAAAATCAATGCCTCCAAAACACAAGCGATCATGTTCCTCCATCGGCAATCGCCCAAACTAAAACCGGCTCCTTCTTGTACTGTAATCATGGATGGCACAGGGGTTGAGTGGTCCGCCGAAGTAACCTATCTCGGGATGTTGTTCGATGAAAAGCTCCTCTTCCGTTCGCATGTGGAGAAAACCGTAATCAAGTGTTCTGCCTTGGTTAGGTGTCTGTATCCGCTGATTTGCCGCAGATCCCGCCTCTCAAGGGTGAATAAACTGGCCGTCTACAAACAAATCATAGCACCTGCGATCCTCTACGCAGCTCCGGTGTGGGAATCATGTGCACAGACTCACAGGAACAAAATTCAGGTCGCACAGAATAGAGTGCTGAGGATGGTTCTTGATCGTCCTGTCGACACTAGAATAACAAATTTACACGAAGAGGCAGGAATTGCCCAAATAGATTCAAGAATTAACGAAATTAAGACTAAATTTGCAGAAAAATGTAATTTATCAGAACATGCTTTGATAAGCAATTTGTATATAGTAGGTTAGGTGTATATAGTAGTTGTAGGTTAGTTGTAGTTGTAAATAGTAGTTATAAGTAGTCTCCTTTTTTCCAATTCAAATCAAACCAATCCCACCAAGGTGGTCATACTTTAAAATAGGCCTGATAGGACTAGTAACTGTAAAGAATAATTAAAATCTCAAATGAACTAAAGTTGAAAAGACGCATCTGTGTCACTTGAAAAATTCATCAATGTAAACCACACAAACACAAGAAATAAAGATCATTTTAAGTCTAAGTCGAAACGACTATCAGTTATTTTCTATCGAAGCGAACAGCTAAATCATGGCACCGAAAACCAGCGGAAAGGCGGCCAATAAGTTCGGCAAGGCTCATAAAGTAATCGTTAAGGGCGAGAAGAAGAAGAGGAGGCAACGCAGGAAGGAAAGCTATGCCATCTACATCTTCAAGGTGTTGAAGCAGGTCCACCCGGACACTGGAGTCTCGTCGAAAGCCATGAGCATCATGAACAGCTTCGTCAATGACATCTTCGAACGTATTGCTGCTGAATCGTCCCGTCTGGCTCAATACAACAAACGCTTGACGATCACCTCCCGCGAAATCCAAACTGCTGTCCGTTTGCTGCTGCCGGGTGAGTTGGCCAAGCACGCTGTCTCTCAAGGAACCAAGGCCGTCACCAAGTACACTAACTCCAAGTAAATTCGTACCATCCAAACAATCGGCCCTTTTCAGGGCCACAAATCGATTTCCACCGTGAAAGAGGTATTGATGATTTATTGAACTTTTATATGTTCGAAAGCAGCGTTAGCAAGTTGGTACATGAGCGGGTCGGTTTTCATCTCTTTTTGCCAGTGGTGGCGGGGGGGGGACACCCCTCACCATCCCTCTCCAAAGGGGGAGTTTGGTAAAGAGAGATGAAAAAACCGATTTGTACCTTCCTTAAAAGTTGTCCTAGCTCGCTTGTCTAATATCTATATACAATCTTCACACTGCCGTACTCTAACGGAACTATCAACTCTATGCTTTCATCTACTCCATCTATCGTATAAAAATTACCACTACAGTCTGTTATTTGAAATTAGCATCTTCAACTATGTAAATCGTTGACTTCACGTAGAAGTAATACTAAAAACATATAGTCAAAGAGCGTTAGCAAAGTTCGCGATAAGAAATCAGTTGATTTGCCTTATGAAAATAATGTTGACAAAAAGAATAAGAGGTTGCATCCATGACACGACCGTACGCTTTGGGGGTACACATTGTGAAAACCGAATATAGAACATGAATTAATTGTGACACGCTTGGCATGGATGGTGAACAGATCGACCAGATAGGCCTCGCTGAATTCCTGTAGGGCCATTAACGGCCGAGCTCTGGAATCGCAGATCGGTCTTGAAGTCCTGGGCGATTTCACGGACTAGACGCTTGAAAGGCAACTTGCAGTCAGCAGCTCGGTCGATTTCTGGTAACGACGGATCTCACGCAGAGCGACAGTTCCTGGCCGGTAGCGATGAGACTTCTTCACTCCTCCATCTGTTTGAGAGGAGCCTTTCCTCCGGTGGACTTACGAGCGGTCTGCTTGGTGCGGCCATTATACGATGTGGATACGTTGAACGCAATCTGTTGAATAAAAGTAGAAGGGTCTGTGCCTAGGGGCACGAACGGAAGCTTGACGTAGGACCGCTAGTGGACGGAACAAATGTGAACATTTAGTTCTTTTAATTGATCAATCATCAATTATCTTAACTCTTTCCGTTTTTTATTTGTAAGCGTATCAAATTTGTAGTATTTATTTCAAAGAGAAAGTTGATGAAGAGAATCGAAGGGACTGTCAACTTGAGTATTTTCGATTCATCTACCCGACTTTAAAAGGTGTAGTTTGATTTTTTTTGTTATTTATGAATTTTTAAGTTTTGTGCATTTTGGTATTAAAGTGTATTCAATTCACCCCTCACAGGATTTCCTTCCGAATTATATGAATGAAAGTATCGTTTGTGCAGAATATGTAAAAAAGGAGGGACTTCGAGAGATTGAACTCGTGACAGCTAATTTTCTCACAAATTTGATTTTATTGGCTTTCTGGGGACTGAATATACACCCCCAAAGCGAATTATTCCTACTTCTCTCAAATTCTATATAGATTTTCAACACTTCCTACCAGCGTGTTCTGGAAAATGATCGGACGATGATTAATCTCACCAATACATTCGGGTCTACAATTCCACACCTTCTATAGAGACCAGGTTAAGCCTTGATAGCTAGCTGCTTGCGGGAACTGATGACCTTGACAAATGTCCAAATAATACTCTTAACAAATTTATTGTGGTCCTGAAAAGGACCGTTTTGTAGTGATGGTTGAGTAATTCTGAGCTGGGTGTTCAACACGGATGAGACTGTCGAGCTGTATGTCGTTTGGAGCGAGGGTGACACGCATGGTATAGATGACCGACCCGCAGCGACTCACGAAGAGCTACTGATTCCGATCCATAGCATAGCGGTACAGCTTCTTCCTCCTTTGATGGTTGCTTATGTGGGCTCTGCAGCTCGCCTGTCGTTGTTACTGGAGAACAATTTTCAACGCCACACGCCGAAAGCACTGCTACTGCTGCTACTAATTTCGACAACCGAACACCACCACACAGTGGTGTGGTCGTTGGGAGCGTGTGGTTCTGAGTATGGCGATGAGTGTGCAAAATATTACGCAATTCCATCCTCCCTATTCGCACGCGCCCGAGGATCGGAGGTGAATGCCACTTCGACTTGTTTCGTCTACTTACTACTCTCTGACGACTGTGCTGGGGAAGCAGCATATGCATGTAGGTAATTGGTGGATTTGTTAGTTAATTCGACGCTTTTGGACAATGCTGGACATTTACCAGTTTTTCAATAGTTTCTTGTTGAACACCAACATTCGGAAGCATTGTTATCGATGCGTAGCCGTATTTCTGATCGATTGGTGATAAAATTATTGAAATTGGGCCAGGGGCAGCTGAGTTATTAACGTTCAAAATCTTTCTTAATTTGTTACATGTTCCATTTTCGGTTTTCACAAAGTGTACCCCCATATAGAAATCAAAGACGTAGTCCTACGTCAAAAATTTTAATTACCCAGCACAATCATGGGCATTGGCTCCAAGCAATATTTCATCAGATTCAAGACAAATCTGTACGATAGTAAATAGAACAGAAAATGAAAATAGAGCATTTCTAGCTCAAATCGTTAAAAAAAATGTCAATTTTGTCTCGACCCCTTCTGATTTGAATGAAACATTGCTCACGTGTTCGCTGCTACTAATGGTTGCATTTTTCATTTAAATATGATTTTTTCCTCCAGAGTAACTTTTGAAAAGGGCGTATAAAAAAATTGATTATTTTTTATTCAAAAAATCATAACTTGAAAACTATTGATCTGATCAAAACGGCATATGAGAAGAAGTTTTAGGTAATTAAATTATCTTTGCGAAAAAAATACACTGAAAGAAAAAAATTCGTAAATTAGTATTTAAAAAACGTAAAACGATGATTATCTCAAAACACCCCCCCTTCGATCTTTATAATTTTTTTTTCCAAGAAAATTGATGGAATACCCTTGAATTTGGTGAAAAGTGTATGCTGGTAACTTCCTTAAAAAGAAATCTATAATTTTTTTAATTTTTGTTGATTTTTACAAGTTGATGAAAATGCATATTTTTTTGAAAAATAACAATTTATTTGGATTCTACGCATAATTTTCGATAACTTTGCATATAGGAACTTTTTTCCTAAGTCCAGCCGTTCTCAAGTTAATGCAAATTAAAAAAATATAATTATAACAATTTTCAACATTTTAGGCCATTTTCAAATGTTCGTCGAGATGTCCAGCAACGAGATTTTATTTCATGATTGTATATTAAAAAACAAACAATTCATTCTCAGATATGGTAGCTGTCAGACTTACCCGTTTCTATCAGAGAAGCACGTTGATGTGGTCAAATGAAAGATTTGTTGAGATAAAAAACAGTATATATTTATTATTTTATTTTACAACTCATATTATTTGAATACATTGAATAATTTGGGTGTATCGTTTGAATTAGAGAATATTTTTACTGCAATTTGGTTGTTTGAAACTGGAATATAGCCAGGGTGCCTTCCATTCATTTTGACTAAAAAAATGTTTTATGAAATTATAGAATAATAGGATATCATGATGATATTTTGTATGTGTAAGTAATAAGAAAAGATTGTAAAGTTTGTGTTTCACACATCAAACCAGCAAATTTAGCTTTTACAGAGTCACAATGAGCGTTTTTCTGATCGCCTCTTCGCGAAGAGTGAAGAGCGAAGAGTGGGTGAGATAAATTACAAAATCGCTTATTGCGACTCTCATGTGGCAAAATTGGCAGGTATTATGTGTCAAACACAAACTTAACAATCTTTTCTTGTTGTTTACATAATCAAAATATTTTCATTATGTCTTATTATTCCATAATTTCTTAAAACATTTTTTTAGTCAAAATGAATGGAAGGCACCCTGAATATAGCAATGATATTTTCGAGTTCCAGGAATTGGTTTCACTTTCTTAAAAATTGGATCAAATTCCGTGTCAGCCTTTTTGTATTCTTCCGTAGAAACATAACAAAATGACATTTTTGTTTGAAGATCTTCTTTACGACTATTTGCCCAGTCGTACAGTTGTTAAGGGTTCGTTATAGGGTGCTCGTGTTGCTTAGCTAAACTTGCTCTGGTTGCCATTCTCTTAAGGGTACCGCCAATCGCATCACAATGACCTTTGCCGTGTGAAGTTGCAAAAAAATGCCATTCAATTTCTACATTATGCTTATCTTGCTTATCACAAATGCTAGCAAAAAATTTTATGTTTTTGTACTGTGATGCTGCTCCATCTGACATAAAAATACACTTTTGGACTGTTATTTGCAACTTTAAAAATTCTAATCATTTTGAGATAAACAACTGAACTGCTACTGTGTCATGCTTTGAAATTGATTTAGGTGGAGGTTTACAACACTTGAAATTGTTATCCATCGTAAAAAACTACTTGCTTTTTAACTTGAAACACTAAGAGAGATGAACTGAATGGAACAGGTGAAGATCGTCCCAATATATATATATATATATATATATGTATGTAGCAGAATAATTACAATGTTGACATTATACCTATCTTCATTAGGTACAATTCTAGATAAACATTTCAAATGGTCCTATCTGCATTGATCTATTCTCTTCATCGACTTTCTCTTTCGTCAATAACTCAGCTGCAAAACCTTTCCCTGTTGTATTTGACGTTTTGGACGCTAGATAAGATCCTCTTTTATCAAACAATGTGGTAGAATTAGCGCAAAATCGGTTTGCATAGCAGTGGTTATGAAAAGAGAAAGTCGATGAAGAGAACCGGTCAAAGCAGATAGGACCATTTGAAATGTTCATCGAGAATTGATTATAGCAAACTTTTTTAAGTGTGAGTGTAAGAAGCCTCCACGGGGTGCCTTTTTATGTAGTTGTGATATCGCGGGATGAGCTCTTAAGGCACAATATGGTATACGTCAGAGAAGTACCTAGAGAATTTATCTCAATTACAGGTTTAATAACATATTTGTTTACCTGGTTATGTTTTGAGCCTATGTTATGACATACACAATTCTATCCAAGTATACAACTAATAGAGGACAGAAAAAAGGCACATGAGTGGGTTTGT